GAATAAAGAGTGGCGAGCGAATTTGGTTTCATCGATATGACATCCACATGAAATTCTGAGCGGACGTTCATCTGTCGCCGAGCCATGAAAAGTGAATCCCGCCGATGGACAACACAGCACGGTTCAATAATCACGAATTACTGTTCACAGCGAGTCCGGCCCCCACTTCGTCATCAACGCTGTTCGACGCGACTCATCAGTCATACAATTTCAATCAAATGCAGCTTTTGCAGGCGGAAGCTAATTAGAGGCGCAAACTGACCGAAAATCTTTAATCAAGGCGAGCTTGTCCCGCACGGGACCCTTCAATTAATTCCTCGTAAATGGAGGAAGGCCGATGGGAAGCAGCGCATATGCGCACCTTTGACAAACGAGTTTCGTAAGAACGTGTAATTAGGCGACGTACCTTGCGCGAAACGGTTTGAATGGTGTGTATCCGTCACCGGTCAGTGTTGACCCATACGCGATACACGGTGAACCATTTCGAACGGATCATTTGAATAACCGGTGACTGGTCGATTGGTTAGGATTTAGAAAGAGAGGATTTAGAATTGAAATATTAACCCTTCGCACTCGAGGCGTGACTCTTACTCACCACTTGATATCATATAGTAAAAATATAAAATTTGATATTTAATATTATACCTCGTATAATGCATCAATTTGAGAAATGTAGAAATGAAATAACTTTGTTACTCCATGTACGCGTGATTTCTGTTCGAGTTAGTTTCGCAAAATATCATCTTTATTTCATTAGAAAATGTTCAAGTATTTCTAGTACAAAAACTTCCGACTGCAAAGGGTTAACCCTTTGCTGTCATTTTTATTGTGAGTTAGCTATTTCAGGAGTATTTACAATGCTGCAAGCGCGCCTCTGTGAAAGATTGAAGCTCTTGCTTTGTCATTAAAAAGAACACGTACATTTTAAAATTACGTTTGATTAAAAACGGTGTAAATCAACTTACCTTACAATGTCGCTGACAACGTAGTGCAAAGAATCAAGCGCGAGATATTCACGCCTATCGCAAAACTGTAAGAAATTATTCCACAGGTGAATCGTTTCAGAAGGCTATTACAGAAATGATTCCCCGCAAGTGTCAGTGGACCCTCAAAATCGTCGTATTATCGAAATTGTATTGTCCGTCCACGCAATATACATCTCAAGCATTAATTTTTCCAGGAACAATATAATAAACTGCACAATATACGTCCATGAGCCCAGTATTAAGAGCTCCGTTCCAAGTGACGCACCCTATACACAAGCATCTGCCCATGAATCAGTGTCTCTTCGAGTTTTACAGGCCGGGAACTCTGGGAGCCGTAACATCACTGCGGCGAGCACAGTTCGATGCAGCATATTATACCGACGCGAGGCTTCGATGTCTACTTCGAGACAAATTGACCTTCGGCTTGGCTCCAGAGCTGCGTTCACGCTGACGCACGAACGTATCCACGGCGCGCAGGTTCGAGGGATCGCGGACGACGCCGGGTAGCTTAAACGGAAATAATTGCTTTTCCAAGCTGACGCTTTCAGAGCTAGCGTCCCAAATGAATCGGTCAGGAGATTTGCGACGGGCAGCGCACACGTCACACCTGATTTCCCCAGTAACGCTTCGGATCTCTTAGGAGCGCCAAACGTTCTTTGCGTTTTGCCAGCGTCCAAAGGGACTACGCAACGTCGGGCAAATCAAATTACATTTGCAGTCCCGGCTGCGCGCCCGTCCGCGCAGAACGCAATTTTAATCGAGTAACGAATAAACGGACCGAGTCCGTTAACGGAATGCTTTTGCCCGCGATCGGCAGCGAATTGTACGCGGGTCTCCTCGTTGACTGTTCATCCGACGCGCCGCTCAGTTCGGCTAAACACCGGTAGGAATGCCGGCTGATATTTTATTCGCCTGATAACGTCAGGATCTTTCGACGGATTAACATTGGCACGCGTTATCTGGGTCGTAACCGGGTGCCGAGACAAATTCAATTGCGAAGATCGTTCCGAGCGACGCCAAACATAAAACGCCGCGAATTAACTGCACCGATAAATCGTGCGCACTAGTTTGTCGGCGAATCAATGTATTCGAAAAGTATCCGACGCGTCGAGTAGTGGAACGCATAAATTTTATAATGGCCGAAGCGGCGTCCCGCTGAATGGAAAGCCACGGTTTTATCTTTTCGAGCGCAAGACTTTTATCAGCGGAACTTTATGCGTTCGTGTCGTATAAAAATCTTCAAAAATATCACTCGCCCCCTCTAACATGGGGGAATTTAATAGAATTGAATACTTCATTCCAGTTTCCATTTACTGAAACCGTCACGGATGGGAGTAGAGTTTTATTTAATCGCCGTTGCGCCAGCTTTGTCCACGTGAACGTGCGCTCGCGTCGGACTCCGCTGTCCCCGTGTCACAGCTCGATACGAATTACCGAAATGAATCGATGCTAACCTCTTTGACCCGAATGAGGTTCGAGACACCGTAAGATTCGTACCAAGGGCCGGACAGATTATTGTACAGGGTCCGCGGTGTTTCGCGAACTGTAAATCTGTAAACACAGGCGTACTCATCACATATTCATAACCGTGCTATATCGACGGCGGACGCGCGCGGTTACTTCGTTCTATGCAATTGCGGTCGCTCCGTCAACATTGTGAATACATTATCGCCGCGTTTGCAGATTCCCGTGTCGCGTTAATTGCAATTACACTGCGTAATCTCCTCGCGATATTTCTTTCGATGGGCATCGAGAGAGTCCGCCGCCCTCGAGATTACGTTTAAATGAGTACACATCGGCGATCATTATTTTTGCGCGCGATGGGGCAGACGCGAGGTGAATCGGATCGAAATAAAAATACCGATTGCGTTTGTTGTATCGCAAATTATATTTCCTACCTCTTCCTTTCCTTCTGGAAAAGGAAGGGTGTAGCGTTTTGTTTGTTTCTTGTTATTAATGCTCGAATACTTTGATTTTCCGACTGTCAGATAGAAAATAATTCTATTCCCCTTGATCTACCATATTATTTTCTTCTTCATCGATGGGTTTAAGATTGTTTTAAGGATTATTAAATAAGTACACGGTTTTATAATTTTCAATAAATATAGGTTGCTCAAGTGAGGATCAAATTGATCTTTTTTTCTCTCTACTTTTGATCTCTACTAATTAATTGATCTCTACTCTTTTAATTTGAGTTTTAACCTTCATTTGAAATTACGATTTATTTCATTTGAACCGATTTAACAGAAAAATGAAGTATTTATTTAAATGTAACGATGCATATACTCGAAGATTCAGATCGGAAGATAGGTTCAACGTTCAAATATTTTTAGATGCAAGAGGGAGATGATTTAATCTGTAATTTACGAAGGGAGTTACTCATATGATCAGGGCACAAAAAGGAGGATACCGCCAAAGGGGCAGGGCAGAAAACCGCGGGAAACACACTTCACTTCCTCTTTGTGGGGAAATTATCTCCCGCCGTTGTGGCTCTACTCTTCCTCCTGTCGTTATTAAACCTACACCTCGCTGGTTCAAGTAAACTGTTTTTAATAAGCCGTCAGTTGCATAACAGCGTTTAGGCTTGTTAAGACCCTTAAGTTAACAATAATCATTATCCACATTATCTGTTCACTTTCTATTTAACTCGTCCCGGCGAATAATATTTGGAAATCTGACGATGAAAACAAAAGTAAAAAATATTACTTTATTACATAATTCGTTCAACTATTGATTTCAGCCTTAACAAATTGTAAACCCGACGAATGTAAATTGAATAACTGCGGAAATGAAGAGGTTGCTGGAATTTGCAGAGAATACATTTGAAACAATAACGAAACAGATTTATATAAAAACGAGATTCTACAGCGATCGTGTGCAATGATTTCATACGATATTGATTTACTCGTGAAAGTTCAGTTGGCGGGTAATCACAAATTTAATAATAGTTTTGATGATGAACGGGTTATAAGATATACGCGTGTGGACGGGTAAGTTTATTTTTATATAGCTGCAGTAACCATAAACTGGAATGATAAAGTTTTAGATAATATAAAACGACCACTGCTCGCTATAAATATAAAACGATATTGAATAGTATTCAGCGACAACCAACTATGAACGTTAAAGTAACGTAGAACCGCGTTGGCGGCAGTGAATATATTAATAAACCGGATTAAAGTAGAATGGAGTTGGAAATAGTACTTCAATTAGAATTTTAGATTTAACGATTCACTGTATTACTTCATTAACCAGAAGATGAATGTAAAAATCAATTCCGAGCTAACTTAGAATTTAAATGAATAATCATTCATTATAATTACAATAGTACGTTAATATTGCATAAATTTATCTAGTTATACTTTCACGCGTCAATTCGTAACAGTTATTTCCTGAATGATTTTAATATTCCTGCGCTACTGATATACGATCACTTTATATAGATCACTGAAGTCGATTTAGATGTAGCTTTAACTAGTCGGTCAAATAATTCGATAAAATTCAATAACGGTCTTATTTTTCCTGCAATGCATTCGTTGTACGCTCAGTTTCCTATCTGAACAGAGGAATGTTTGATCTGTTAACAAATTAAATATAAAATAAATCAATAAATTTGCGTACACGAAAATTTCAACGAAATAAAGGCCGTACGAGAAACACAAGTAAAAAACAAATATTTTCAGTAAACTTGTAATACGCAAGAAATGTTTGCAAATATTCATTTTTTATGCGTTGGCCATTTGTAAGAGTTGCCTGTTCAACCGAAATGTATGTTTGAACATGAATGTTTGAACAAGTAAATAGCAATATTTCCCGAAATTCTGTTAACGTGAAGTGAATCCTGATAAACAGCAACGTATGGGGCTCGTGTTCTCAGTGTTTACAAGATGCTACGACTTCTTAATGCTATTCGTCGAAACATGCGAACACTATTCCTCGGAAGGAGCCCCGGATTACCGTGATTTCCCGAGACGAGGTCGAACACCTCGGAATACCAAGACTGGATGGGTGTGGTCGGGTTCATTTTCCTTTTATTTAGTTCGCCGGCGGTAGCCTGGAAATCTCAACGTAAAAGGCTCGTAGCTTGCCGAGAAACAACCCGAAACAATACTACTGGTAACAATGGCCGAGCTGTTGACGTCATACCGATATCTTGCTGATACAGTAAGCTACAAATTCCTTCTTCAAATTTCTGCTAAAGGTGGAAGCATCGGGATGGGGCCGGGGTTCACGGGAACCAATTCAAATTTGTGTGCCAATACCGGCGTTCTCCGCATCGTTTTATTCTGTACCTACGACGCTCGAAACAAATTGAGTTATGTATATTTTAATAGATGACGGATTGAAGAGGTATAAATGGCTTCGGTGAATTGTATCTTCGACAGACTACCGAAACCTTTCAATGAAGGTGTTTGTGAATACGTACGTTTTTATATTAACGGATTGTCTGTCGCACGGTTAGTGATCAAATGAGGTGTATGATAATCTTTTCGAATTAAAACTCTGATTGAGCATTGAACGGCAAGTAATGATTTAATGGTGATTTAAAAGTTATAACTTTTGTAGTTACAGTTATAACTGTAATGATTGTTAACTATTTTTTTTTAGAATTCTTAACGCATTGTTAGTCAATGACGGAGATCTTTCGTTCCTCTCGTCAAAGCGTTATCTTATGACCTTTTTACTTTCCATAGCTGTAATTATTAAGTTATAACTGTAACTATAAAAGTTAATTATAGTTTCAGTTATTACTTCACGAATAATACTTTAGTATAAAATTTAATTATAGTTACAGCTATTACTTCACTAATTATAGTCATTACTTTCATAGTTATAGTTATACCTTAATAATTAGAACTGTAGATAGTAAAGAAGTCAAAAGATAACGCATTGTCGAAAGAAACGACAGCCATTGTTCGACGAGGCGTTAAGAATTCTAAAAGAAAGAAGTGGTTAAGTATCATTTGCAAAATGATCTGTTAATTGGCGGGAAATTGCTGCGCAAATGAACAACGTTATCAATTCAAGTTTCGTTTCACGGAGCACGTGTTCCACGCGAGCGTACGTTGTTACATGATCTTCGCCGTAGTTAAGAATGCACTTGCCCAAGGCTCCGGTATGCAACAATGTTCGCTCGTTTCAAAGTCATGAACGTTTACTATGGTAACTTAAAGGCGGTTCACCTAGGCTGTTTAAATATTCCACTTTGAAACTTAACTTCATGAGCGATAGTACGTAGTCGTAGACGAGTGGCCGGCGCTGTTGACGTATAGTTTTAATGAGGTCACACATACGAGACCTTGTATCATGAGATATTAATCGTGGCCTCGTGA